AACAATGAGTGTTATTACTACTCTACTGGAAATAAGATCGTTATGCTGGATCCAAATAGATAACCAAAAGACAGCAACCGAAACCGGCGCACGAAAGTGCATGGTTAATGGTTGTAACAACTGAACTGAACATCAGACAAAATAACCAAAAGTATATAATGTTTGACAAGCGTTGAGTGATCACTGAACCTGTAGGACTGATCTCTCCCCTAATTGTACCTAATAATATATTTCGCTTAAATCGATTTATGTAATAATAGAATCATCTAACACATCTGTTTCCATTTTTCTCCGAATTTAAAAATACACATTTGTTATGATATCTGGATTCTAGATGTATGGAAATGTGACCGTTATGTTAATGACCAAACTTCACCAGAGGGCAACCAAACTAGGATGTGCAAGGGTCACGGGATAGAAGAAAAACGAAAAGCCATCCCAATTCTTTCCGTCGACTAAGTTTACTGACCATAAGTTTTCTATGCTGGTCGCATTTAAAAGGAAGAAAACAGTATGTACAAGACGATTGAGTTTATCACCATTTGAAGTTAAAAACTAATTTCTTAAATTGATAACGCTTAGAAATCTCTTACAAGACTGGTCCAGCAAAAGACACACTACTACCAAGAGGAATGGGCGGCTCAATGATTCGAAACACCCCCACTAGCTCGTCTTTATGGATTCAACTTTCGATCTTAGACTCATCCTATAAAATACAACCATGGTGCATCCTGCATCATTATCCACTCTATCGTACTTTGAAACAAGCTTTTCCCGTGATAAATTTGAAAAGAGAAGCCAGTATAGTAACATTGCGCGATTTATGACCTGGACGATTTCGCTGCATCTCAATTGATTCCTACTGCAGACAAATACAATGTTTATATGGGGGTTGGGGAATGGATTACAAAATAAATACTTGAAAATGGGGGGAAGCGTCAACAAGGCAAAATCAAGGTGATGAAAAAGTCTTTTCGTTGACACAATTGGTTTCCATCGCTTGATTGTAATCACCTCGGGATAATCATTTCTTGTAAACGTGTTACGCGGAAAACTGATATCGTTTGATATCGTGTCGTCAGTGCAAATTCGACAGGCTCTATCAAATAGGATGTAAACAAAACCACGGTTATATGTAATTGGCACAAAACTTCCAAAGTGCATGTACTGACTTGTCCAAGTTGTTTTACGATAGACCGATCGTGACATAGTTCCGTCTGTCTTTCGGGTGATATTTATGTCAAGAAAGCCCAGGCTACTGTTCTGTTCAGTTTCCATGCGGAGTCCTATGTTCAGATGTAGTCGATTGAGGTATTTTAGAATGTTCTTGGCCTGTTTCACATTGTCCGTGATAATGAGAATATCTTCAGCCCATCTTCTGTATCACGTAGCTTGTTTCAGTAAATTCTGAGCTTGAGATTCCAAGTGTACCATGAATAAATCCACAATCACTGATCCCAAAGGGCTTCCCATGGCCAGGCCATCAATTTGTCTATATACTTTTCCTTGGAATCTAAATGAGACGTTTGCAGTACACAGTAGCAAGAGTCTCTCCAAGATCGAGGCAGGTAAGATGGTTCTCACTTTATCTCTTTCGACGTGATCACAAATTATTCGAATAGCTTCACGAACAGGAACATTGGTAAATAATGATTGCACGTCCAGCGAAGCCAGGTGTTTCTTAGTAATGTTTAGTTGGTCCAATTGTTTTACCATGTCAAAAGTGTCTTTCAAGGTATATTTGATCATAGAATTTCTCACTGGCTGTAAAACGTTGGCAAGCCACTTTGCCAGTTGAAGTTGTGAGGAGTTCCTCATCGACAAGAAGCCAACATCTTTGGTTTCAGCGGTACACCAGGTTTGTGTAATTTTGGAAATCCATATAGTTGCGGGGAGAGACTTACCTATATAAACATTGTATTTGTCTGCAGTAGGAACCAGTTGAGATGCAGCGAAATAGTCCAGGACATAAATCGTGCAGTGTTGCTATATTGGCTTCTCTTTTCAAATCTAGCATACTTTGTCTGTCACCCACTCCTGATGCTCGGCTTATACGTATTGCAGCTACACGGTACTTTCTGGGACTACAGTTTTGTCGTACATCTGCCAGGTGAGTCACTAAGCCGGAAACAGCTGAGCGGAAATTTCAGCCACGGTTCATTTGCACTTTTATGCGATAAAACTGGGTCAAAAGGCAAACTGTGTTCACAACTTTCAAGTCCATTCACACACATTCTTAATTCATTTGTGCATTTGGTGGGGAAAGTCTACCGCTTTGTTCAACTCTTTCGATGCTCATGAAAAAGTCGCAGTTGTCAATCACTGCAAGACGCACTTAGCAGAGAGTGAACAGCGCACGTAGTTTGACTGAACGCATCCGGTCTGAGTTTTCGAGAGACATGCGAAGAATTGAAGCATCCCAATCCGCTAAAGCAAAAACAGACCCCTCCAACAGTGAACAAATGAACAGAGCGTTTTACCAAACCGGATGGGTTCAGAGTAGTGCGATGGTACCATGAACTATTGTGTGAAAGTGTTATCCCTCGGTGGGTTTCCACCATAACACGTGGGTCAGTTTGTCTCAAAGAGGCTACATTTTTTCTCTTCACCCAATTTAATGATAGAGATGAGTGAGAGTTGTTTCACTCTGACGGTTTGATCACACAAGCATTTTCACATCATTTCTGGACTCCCGAGGAACTAAGAGCTGCGATCACGCTCAACCCGTTT